GGTTCATCAATTATAATAACTGGGGGGTGGTGATAACTGGGGAGGCTACACATGAGGAGGACAGGAGGTATATGAGAAATCTCCATATCCTGCACTCAATTTTACTATGAACTTAAAACTGTTCTAATAAATAAAGTCTGTTAAAAAAGAAAATAAAATACTTAGGAATAAACTTAACCAAGATAGGGAAAGACTTGTACAGTGAAAACTATAAAACAGTGGTGAAAGAAATTTAAGATAAAAATAAATGGCAAAATATCTCATGTTCATGATTATTAAATATTATTAAAACAGTCATACTATACATACTATACATATCTAAATATGTATACCAAATATGGATACTATACATATCCAAAGCAATCTACATTCAATGCAATCCCAACAGCCTTTTTTGCAGAAATAGATTCATATGGAATCTCAAAGGACCCCAAATACCCAAAACAATTTTGAGAAAGGAAAACAAAGCTGGAGGCCTCACACTTTCTCATTTCAAAACATACTACAAAGCTACAACAATCAAAATAGTGTGGCTCTAGCATAAGGACATATAGACCAATGGAAAAGAATGGACAGCCCAGAAATAAATCTGCATATATATAATTAAATGATTTTTTACAAAGGTACCAACACCTTACAATGGGGAAGGGATTCTCTTTAGCAGATGGGGTTGGGAAAATCAGACATCCACAAGCAAAAGAATAAAGTTGGACCCTTGCCTTACACCATACACAAAAATTAACTCAAAATGGATTAAAGATCTAAATGTAAGAGCTGAAATTATAAAACTCCTAGAAAAAAGCAGAGGGAGATCTTTACAAATTGGAATGGACAATGATTTCTTGGATATGACACCAAGAGCATAGGCAACAAAAGCAAAAACAGACAAATGGGACTACATCGAATTTAACAACTTCTGTGCACCAAAAGAAACAATCAACAGAGCGAAAAGGCAATCTATAAGATGGGAGAAAATTTTTGCAAACTATTTATCTGATAAGGGGTTATAAAGAACTCCCATACCTCAACAACAACAAAAAATAAATAACCTGATTTAAAAATGGGCAAAGGGGGCGCCTGGGTGGCTCTGTGGGTTGAGACCTCTGCCATCGGCTCTGGTCGTGATCCCGGGGTCCTGGGATCGAGCCTCGCATCGGGCTCTCTGCTCAGCAGGGAGCCGGCTTCCCCCTCTCTCTCTGTCTGTGTGGTCTCTGTCTGTCAAATAAATAAATAAAATCTTTTAAAAAAAAAAGTGGGCAAAGGATTTTGAATAGACTTTTCTCCACGGAAGATATACAAATGGTCTACATGAATTTGAAAAGATGCTCAATATTATAAATCATCAGGGAAATGCAAATCCAAACCACAACGAACTATTACTTCATGCCCCTTAGGATGGCCACAATCCAAAGAAGTCGGAAAATAACAAGTTTTGGCAAGAATGTGGAGAAATTGGGACACTTGGTACACTGTTGGTGGGAATGTAAAATGGTAGCACTACTATGGAAAACAAAATGGAGGCTCCTCAAAAATTTTTAAGAGAGAATATAAAAATTCTGTAATCCCACTGCTGGGTACATATCTAAAAGAACTGAAAGCAGGCTCTCCAGGAGATAATTTGCACTCCCATATTCATTGCAGTATTAGTCACAATAGCCAAAAGGTGGAAGCAATCTAAATGCTCATCAACAGATTGATAAATCTTTAAAAATATACTATATAAAAAAAAATGTACTATATACTGGGCACCTGGGTGGCTCAGTGGGTTAAAGCCTCTGGCTTCAGCTCAGGTCATGATTCCAGGGTCCTGGGATGGAGCCCCACATCAGGCTCTCTGCTCAGCGGGGAGCCTGCTTCCCCCTCTCCACTTGCCTCTCTGCCTACCTGTGATCTCTGTCAAATAAATAAATAAAATCTTTAAAAAAAAATGTACTAGATACTTACAGTGGAATATTATTCAACCTTTAAAAAGAAGAAAATCCTGTCATTTGCTACAACTTGGATGAGTCTTGAGAACATTACGCTAAGTGAAATTAAACCAGTTACAAAAAGACAAATACTGTATGATTCTGCTTATATGAGGACTCTAAAGTAGTCAAACTCAGAAATAGAAAGTAGAATGGTGATTACCAGGAGCTGAGGGGAGGGAGAAAAAGAGTTCAATGGATATAAGTTTTCAGTTTTACAAGATGAAAAAATTCTAGAGATCTGTTTTGCAACAATATACATATAGTTATTACTAAACTTACACTTAAAAATGTTTAGGATAGTAAATTTTCTGTAGGTTTTTTTTTTAAGATTTATTTATTTTAGAGAGAGTGTGCATCAGGGGAGGGGGGAGGCGGGGGAGGAGAAAGTCTTGAGCAGACTCCCTGCTTAGTGTGGAGCCCGCTGTGGGGCTCAATCTCATGACCCTGAGGTCACGATCTAAGCCAAAACCAGGAGTTGGGTGCTTAACAGACTCTGCCACTCAGAAACCCCTATGAATTTTTTTTACAATTAAAAAAAATCAGATCAACCAATTGCAATGTATGGATCTCATCTGTACCTTGATTCAAATAAGCGATGAATAAATTTATGAGACAATAGGGAAAAACTGAATGCTGACTGGATATTTGATATTAAAGCATTAATTTTTTGCGTGATAATGAATGCACTTTTTTTTAATGTGGTTCTTCTCCTTTTTGATAATCTGAAATATTTTATGGGTGAAATAATATCTGGAATTTGCTTTGAAATAATCCAGTGGAGATAGGAAGTACAGGGGAATCAAGATGGCCATGAGTTGAGACTTACTGAAGCTGGGTGATGGGTAGAAGAGGTTCATGTAATTATGTACAGTCTATGCTATATATGTTTTTTTCTGTAATAAAGACTAAAATAAAGCAAGTGCCTCTGGAGGGTTGGGGCTATTGGGTATTTACATTTGGCCTTGAACTCATCTACTGAGACTCCCTCTTCTCACCATCAGCAACTTCAGGATGAATCTAAGTTTGTACTGATGACATTCTCTCTTACCTTTGGTGTTTGCAACTGCTCTTCCCATAAGTTACAAAACAAGGAACTCGGCCAATCTTTCGTGAAAATACTCAGGAGCAGCAACTCAGGCTTAGCTGAGCAGCTCATTGTTTTACTGACACCTATGAGTTGTGGTTTTAGGAATGTTTATACAATAAGCAACCCTAGTTTGGGTGACTAGATTCACTACCCAACAGTCTACGAAGTCCTTTGAGGAGCAGCAGGCCACTCCAGAGCCCTGACACCTGGGCATGCTGACACCAGTGAGTTCAGGGGCCTCTGCTTGGGTAGAGCAGAGAATGGGGAGAAGAACAGCCCAAAAGAGGGACTGACAAGGTCACCAGCCACAGACAGAAAAGAGGCAGCAAAATCTTCACATTTACTCAGAAGTCTTGTCCAGGGAATGTTCTTCCCTAGAAGAAGGAGTGAAAATCTCTTCTACTCCCTGCACTGCCTGGCTCCCTGCCCCAGTCTGCTCTTCCTTCTCCAATAGCTCCCACACAGAAACAGTGCCAGTTCTCAGAAGGCTGCAGCTTCCCAAACTTAGATTTAGAATAACAGAGGCATGAGGGCCACTCAGATTCCTCACTCTTACCCCAGACCTCCTCATCCCTTATCAGCCAGAGGGTGAGGACAGTAATAGCCAAACCAAATACCAAAGGAAGACAGAGAACCCCAGGTTAATTTCTACCACTACTGGGATTTACATTCTAATAGCTTGATGACTATCAGGGTATCTTTGGTAAAAGAGAATACAATTAAAATAATCTAATTTATTGGCATATTTATACAAATGGTTCAAAAAGAAACTACTTCCACAAGAAACTAAGTTATAACACTTTAATAATTTCAATAGAACCAACTTCAGGAACAGATACGCACACACACATTAAATTCAAACAATTTAATTGAACAGTGTACTTAAATGCATCAACTTCTTAAAAATCCCCAAAATGGAGTCAAGGCCATGGATATGAAAAGGTAATTTTGAAGTACTACAGACTAGAGTAAAACAGACAAGGTTATTACTTTGCATTTACCAATAAGACGACAGCCTGCAGATACATTAGACCTTTATGAGAACACTTCCAGGCAATGTTAGAACAGAGACTCATTAAAAAGAAATACAATTGATCTCAGAAAGATTAATTTATAGCTAACAATTTCTTTGGTCCTCCAAGTCACATCTGTTTTTACTTTAAAATACCAAACATGAATAGAGTGTTTAATTCTACTTCTAAGTGTCTATTAAGCAGGATAATGTTTATATCACATTAGATTTTAAAGAGAACTCAAAATAAATTACCACTGTACTTCAGAAACTCCATAGAAAAATATAGGAAATAGATGTAGGGAAGTTTAAAAAACAAAAAACAAACAAACAAAAAACCCCAGCACTTCTGCCACCTTGTCCCCATCCTAAGGCAAATGACATCAAAATGGCAGAGGCAGGACTACCAAGGTTAGAGTAATCACTGTAGTTAGTTCTTCTTAAGGTAATGGAATAAATTTGAAGGATACAATGTCAACCAAATATGAGACTTTTCCATGGAATGACTGTAGCTTTGTTTTTGCAGGGAGTTGGGTTTGGTTTTTGTTTGTTTTAATTTGGCCCACACTGCCCCAGTGGAGGGAATTTTAAGTAGTCATTAATAAGGCAAAAGCTTCCTGGACAAAAAGACTTGTATACCACTTGAACAGTTACACTGAGGACGAGACCCATATGGAGCACAAGAGGAATCAGTATGGGGCTTCTAATAATTTCCAGTAATTCCAGAAAATTATAGAGCATTTTCACAGATACCAACAATGCAGCTTTCATTGAACATTGGCTATCACTCACACTGTGCAGTCCACAGTTAGTTCATTCTGCATGCTTTCCTGTACACAGAAGCTATGGTTCTGCAGACCTGAAAGTGATGAACATTTTCAAAAGTTTCTGGAAATACTTAGAAAAATATTTGTTAAGGTAAAAAAAAAAAAAAAAAAAAAAAAAAGTTTTGAGACATCTCCAAGGAATACACAAAGTAAGCTTGCAAGAAACTCCTAAAGGTAAAACTGTGAGGACTAGTTATTTGCAGGGTCAGTACTGAAGTCTCATAAAATAATGGCTTTTTTAAAAAGGCAAAGGTATCTATACTCTAAGTGGTGTGATATTCTCATCAAGGCACAGAGAGTTAAATATCTAAATCCCTGTATGTTCACATGAGAATACACTTGTAAACAATAGGAACTAATTCCCTGTACTTGAATTTTAAAAAGGATGGAAAGTAGAAATGTGCCTTTTTAACTCACAAAATCAAAAACATAGATATTCCACCACCTTCCTTTGGTGACTAACGTCACAGCTGGAGAGTCAAAAAATAAATATATAAAAAATAAAGTGCCCTGGCAGTTTCATAAATGTGATTAAAGTGAAGCCTGTTGGACTCTGAGTTTGCACAGCAATGCTGCACAGTGTACAAAAATTCTTTTAAGCACTACACCATTTTTGTTTGGGGAAGGAAAAAAATAGTATTGGCCATAGTTTCCCCCCATTCCCAACATTCCTATGCTTAGGAACCCAGTTACCATAGTATTTGAACAAAATACTTGAATTTTTCTTCCTTCCCAGCACCCTCAAGGTTATCCAAATGGCAGTGGTTTTGTGCATGTAACTTACACAATGGGCAGTTTCTTTGATAGTTACCACTAAAAGGTGGCAAGAAGAAAGTAGAGGTCTCACCCCTTTGCTAATTATTTTTATTTGATTTGCTATAAATAATTATTAAACACCATTAGTGACAAGGAATAACGTTCACGTCTGAAACAATTGAAAATGCAACGTACAAACAATTAAGACCAATGATCCTCAAAGCACATGACACACGCTGAAGTTCAGCTCTTAATGAGAGTTAGAAACTCTTCCCGAGTCTTTGGGTCTTCCCGGAACACACCCAACATCGTGCTGGTCACAGTTTTGCTGTTCATTTTCTGTACCCCTCGCATTACCATACACATGTGTCTACAAAACAAGACAACAGAGGTGGCTTAAAGGAATAGACAGTTGCTGGTTTGGTTTTTAAAGTCAAAAGCAGCTCCCAAAATTAAATCCGGTTATATTGAGTTCACAGCTACCAACTATATCCAAATGTCACTTCTTGGACAAACGTGACCTAAAATGTTTTATTTATGTTTCTTAGTCCCACGGATCTCATTCTCATCAGTGGTTGAATCTTTGAAGCATCTAGCAGAAGGGGAAACAAGGGAATTTTCTCCCTAGGTGAAAATAATACAAGGGGTCCATAGAGATAAAACAACTTTGGTATAAAAAGCAATTCAGAATTCTCACTTGCTCCATCTGTAAGACCCAAAGAGCACAATCTTAGCTTAGGTATTTGGAGAAATACTGAAGTATGTGGTATCACCAGACAGAATCTAGAGAACAGTGGCCCCAGTGCACGTGAGCAACCTGGGGAAGCTAGATGGCGTGCACAATACAGAGCTCATGCCCTGTCGGAAGAATGGATAAGATGTGTGCAATTCTCGCAATTCATTCTAACTTAAAGAAGTGTCTTCGGATGCCCTTTACACCCAGTTTTTGCTCCATTTTTAAAAACGTGTGACAAAATATTAGGAAAAGTCCTCTTGGAGCAACAAAGAGCTAAAGAAGAAATCAAGAGAAGACATAAAATGCTTCTGGTTGCACACATCACTCCGCTTAGGCTGATGACTCCCGACATGGCCACCAGCCCCACGGAAAACAAAACAAAACCAGTCTCCCATCTGGTTCCTGTATCGGCCACGCAGTCAATGCAAGAGGTCAAGAAAGCTTCAGGTCAGAGGCAGAAAACATGACAGTGTCAATGATGTGGCATCACGGGGTGCTGGAAAAACTGAGCAACACTAAATACCACTTCCAGGCACCACAAGGACAATTGTTAAGGGCAAGCGTGGACTTACGTGGCTTCCACCACCACCCCGACTCCAGCAGGCCGCAAGGCTTCTGTGATTGCTATGGCAATTTGTTTCGTCAGCCGCTCTTGAACTGTGGGGGTGACAAGAGGCTCCGTTGAAGAGTCTGACACAAACAGCAGTCTTGAGAATATTTGTTGTCTCTAGAATATTCGAAATCTTAAAAAGCAGACTTCTGTGAGGCTTCAGAACCCAGACGCACGAGCTCTTACAGGTCTGCTTTGTCTGTGGCCCACAGGAGGCCGCCGTTCAATTCCCTCACCCGCAGATCCAGTACTGAAGAGCGTTTGGCACCCCCACAGAAAACGGGTGCGAGCGACAACTGTCCCAGGCGTGCAGGAAGACCAACTGATAATGAGCTCCTCCACGCAGATGAATAAGTCGCTCGCGACAGGATTAACAGAGGCACTAAACCCAATTACTGAATTGTACATGGAACTCAAAGCCAACAATCTAACCTAAACAATGCGGTCCCTGTGCTGAATAAACAACTCGTCTTTGAAAACATATTAAGAGTGTTCACTGCAGCATCGTGTTTATTTGAAAACTGACAAAAATCTGCAAATGTCTATTAGAGCAGGGACTGGTTAAATCAAGTCCCAGTACAGCTGGACAATGGAATGCTAAATAGCCAGCATAATGAACGAGATAGTTACATGCATGTAGGAAAAAAAAATGTTTGATTTGTTAAGTGGAAAAAAAAAATAGGGGGAATAAAAGGCCATTACATACAATATGAGCCCATTAAAAAATGTAATATATTGATTTTAAAATGTTGGTAGACACACAAAATATGAAGGAATATGCAAATACAACAATGATTTCTTCTGGAGGCCTGAAACACTGCAGACTTTCCCTTTCTATATTATATTCCTATGAGGTTTTAAGTCATATGTATTACATGTGAAATAAGAACAACAAAAAATACTTTTTCCTTAAGAAGAAAATGTTTTTCTGCAAATAAAAGTTTAAAAGTTTACCTTGTAATCGTCTACTATAGATTTCTACAATCCTAGAAAAGAAAGAATTGTTTCAGTTAATCATAAATTTGTTTGAAAAATGGAATTGGCTTCCTCAAAGTACCAAAAGGACTTTATTGAAGAAATTGTAGGGTGTGGGCAGGAGATCACTGCTTCTAAGAGGAAGAAAGATACAAAAACTACATGGAAATGAGAAGAGGGAGGGTCTTGAGGAAACCACCAAGAATGACACAGAGTGTTAGTACCCTATGTCTCCAAAGAGAAAGAGAATTACAAGAATATTCACTAAGGAAAAACACAGTGATTTTAGAGCTCCCAAGTCATCAATTTTAGACCAAGTCTCAAGTGTTCTAATTAGTCATATTGTTTAACCAGAGCTTAAAGTTCAAGTTAAAAATAAAAAGACTATTTGTTAATTAATAGCAGGCCATTGTCAGCTACTGTACCCACTAAACCTATTAGGGTAATCAGATTAGGACTGAACAGACTTCTTCAGACATCTCTTTATAAGCTACGTCTATATAAGCACTCTGTATGATTAATTCCCCAAAATAAGAGCCTCCTGATCTTGGCTTCTAACACAATCTGTCAAGTGACAGATTTTCCCCTTTTAACACTTTTCACTCTAGTTGTGAAATGTAAAGATGGTCACATGAATTACATATTTGAGGATAACAATTCACATTAAGGATCTTTTCTTAAAATTTGGCCTTCTAGTCATGAATTTGGACTCGATTTAAGGATCACTTCACCGAGGAGGCATTTTACAGCTCTTCCCTCTGCACCCCCCTCCATATGGTGCTCAGATAAAATTACAAAGTTGCTCCTTTATACCCATTATAACCAATAAAGTCAGTAACAGATACGGTGGCCTGTTTACCACTCAAACTGAAGGCAGGATGCATTCTGATTCTTCTTGTTTCTAGGAGATTTATAACATTGAATGAATACAATTATATATTTTAAATTTTGAATAAAAACCTGAAGAAGGATGCTGTTCAAGCTCCTGGATAGGAAATATGTCTTATTTCTTCTGAGTCAAATCTCTATATATTACTTTTTATAGTTTTCCAGGTAATTAATTTCTGTTGTATGACTAGGAGATGCCATTGATTTAAAAATTAGTAATATCTCTTTTTTTTTTCTCATAGTCATCATTTCCTTCTCTAGAGTAGAATTTCAGGTACAACATTAAATAACATTGACAATATTGGACACCCATATTTTGCTCTATACTTTAACAGGAATGTCTGTGACATTTTACCATCATCCATGATTCCTGTCTGTTTCTGGTAGACAGCCACTCTCACACCAAAGGAAGGCCATTCACACAGATCATTATTGAGTGCCTTCTACATATATGATTATGGGATAAACAGGATCCCTATGCTCAGAGTTTATAATCTATTCCTAGTTTATTCAGTTTTCTAAGTAAGCAGAAGGCATTGAAATTTTGTCTTCTCAGCGCTAAAGATAATTATATAGCTTCCCTGAATTTAAAAAACAAAAAACAAAAAAACCAAAAAAGCCCCCCAAACCTCTATTTTGGCCTCTTTCTTGAAGATAATGTGTTTAGAGGTATTTGTTGAAAATAGAATTCTAATTTGACACTAACATTCATCTGCCTTTTAATATTGACATTGGCAAATAATCATCAGTCTAATTGCTATTACTTTGTAGGTTATGTTTTCTATGAAGCTGCTTTTATGATATTTCAGTATGTGTACTCTGAGGTTTTCTATGTCATATCTAGGTGGGGATTTAATTTTTTTATCCTGTTCAGGATTCATTAGGGTTCCTAAATCTGAAGACTGATTTTTTTGCATGTTCTCCAGAAACGTTTTTAGTCATCACCTTCTCCAACACTGCACCTACTCCATGGCCTCTGTTACCTCCAGGAATTTCAATTAAGGACATAATAGACCTGCTCAGTCCTCCACATCTCTTACATTCTCACCCATATATTCCACCGAGCTCTGAACACAATTGCTTCAGACCTTTCTTCCAGTTCACTATTTTTGGCTGTGTCTAACCTGCTATCTATTGATCTGTATTTATTTGTATTATTTGTATTTATTTATTGGAGAGAGAAAAAGTGCACAAACCTAGGGAGAGGCAAAAGGAGAGAGAGAATCCTCAAGCAGACACCCCACTGAGTGTGGAGCTGGACTCGATCCCAAGACCCTGAGATCATGACCTGAGCCAAAGTCAAGAGTCTGCTTAACTGCCTGAGCCACCCAGGCGCCCTTCAGGATTATTATATTCTAACATATTTGTTGTATGTTCTGTATGTGTTAGCACCAGCCTCTGCCCTCTTTGACCATTTGTTTCAGCTGACTCTGCCTCATGGTGGCCTTTCTTTTACTTTTGGTGAATTCATGCTCCTTAGAATATCATTTGTGGGAATTCTCTGAAGCCAAAATAAAAGTGCATCAGAAAAAAGAGCACTTGTTTTTGCTAGGTGCTAAAAGGCTGCCTCCTTGGCAACATTTTAAATTAAATTACTGCCCTGGGTCTGAGGACCATCCATGGTGATATGAATTCTGAGCCTAAACCCTTGTGAATATATGGCTATAGGTTCTTTTTCCTGCTCTTCCCAGAACAAAGCTAACAGGTAATATCTCTTCCAATTTGGGGTTGAATAGGGAGGACAGAACCTTACCTTTGACTCCAGTGGCAGCTAATTCTTGTAAATTCTTACTGGAATTTCCCCCAATGTTTGAAATGTTCATACACATTATAACTTTGTATGCTATACTAGGAGGGATATCATTACCATCTAGTTTACCACAGTCCCAGAATCAGTAGTTCTTAATTTTAATCTAAGCCATTTCTGTATTCTTAGAATAAATCTCCCTGGGTCATGATGGAAAGAGTACTTGTGCCTGTTAAAGTAGGAATTGATATTTGGAATTCTTCAACTATATTAGTAAGTGGGATTAGTCTATCATCTTCTTAGATGCTAGTTTTATCAGACTTTCATCAGGGATATACAGCTTCATCAAATTAATGGTGTAGCTTTTCAGGTTTTTCCATGCTCTTGAATAATTTATACAACACTGGAATTAGTGGTTACTTGGAAGTTGTCTATTAAATTGACCATCCACCCCTTTCCCTCCCACCCCACTCCTAACATTAATTTGACTTTTTCCAATGGTTACTAATTTATCCAGGTTTTCCAATTCTTGGTTCATTCCCTTCTCTCTCCAACTTTTTCAACTAATTCATAAAGATTGAAAGTTCCTAAAATATATTTTTAGTTACACAGCTTCTCATTTCCAGATGTATTTCTTCTTCAATCAGACTGCTAAGCAATCTATCATATATGATATTTTGGATTTATGTTTTCTGTTCCTTTTTAAAATTTTATAATTTAATCATTTTATTTTTCTTTCTTCTTTCCCATTTGTCCTATTAAGCTTGCTTTTTCTTTAAAAAAAATATTGAAGTTTAGTTTACTTGTTGGGTTTCTTATTCAATAATGAAAGCATTTGTGGCTATAAATTTATCTCCAAAGCACAGGTTTTTTTTTTTTAATTTTAAAATTTAAAATTTAAAATTTTTGAAATATCATTTTAATTTGTATTAATTTTAATTTGTATTAATTTTAATTAATTATACCTTTACTGAGCTATAATTGACAAAGACTGTAAAGATAAAAGGCATAATTGACAAAGATTATAAAGTATACATTGTGATCTAATATATGTATACATTGTGAAAAAAATCCCCCATCTAGTTAATTAATATACCCATCACCTCACATATTTATCTCCCCCACCCCACCCTAGTGAAAACAATAAACACTGAAGTAGAGCTATCTCTTTAATATCCTATCTTCACTTCTTCTGGATATATACCCAGAATTAGGATTGCTGGATCATATGTCAGTTCTAGTCTTAATTTTTTGAAGAATCTCCATACTGTTTTCCATAGTGGCTGCACCAATTTATATTTCCACCAACAGTGTACAAGGGTTCCCTTTCTTCCACAGCCTCACCGACACTTACATCTTATCTTTTTTATAGTACTGCAGCGGTAGTTGTGCAATGATATCTCATTGTGGTTTTTTTTTTTTTTTAATTTTATTTTTTTAAACATATAATATCTTTTTATCCCCAGGGGTACAGGTCTGTGAATCGCCAGGTTTACACACTTGTGGTTTTGATTTGCATTTCCTTAATGATTAATGAAATTGAGCACCTTTTCATGTCCGTGTTGCCCATCTGTATATATTCTTTGGGAAAATGTCATTTAGTTCCTCTGCGCATTTGGATCGATTCTTTGCTATTAAGTTGTATGAGTTCTTTATATTTTTTGCACATTAACCCCTTACCAGATATGTGATTTGCAAATATTTTCTCCCTTCTGTAGGTTGCCTTTTTATTTTGCTGATGGTTTCCTTTGTTATAAGAAGCATTTTAGTTTGATGTAGTCTCGCTTGTTTATATTTTATTTTGTTGCTTTTATGTTTGGTGTCAAATCATCACCAAGACTAATGTCAAGGATCTTACCCCCTATGTTTTCTTCTAGTTTTATGGTTTAAGGTCTTATATTCAATCCCTTTTAAGTGGATTTTTGTGTACAGTATAAGAAGGGAGTCTAGTTTTCCCAACATAATTTTTAAAGTTTTATTTATTTTTAAGTTTTATTTATTTGAGAGAAAGCAAGCAAGCACACAAGCAGGGAGAGTGGCAGGCACAGGGAGAAGCAGGCTCCCCACTGATAAGGGAGCCTGATGCGGGAATCGATCCCAGGACCCTGGGATCATGATCTTAGCTGAAGGCAGACGCTTAACCGACTGAGCCACACATGCCCCAAGTTTATTTTTTAGTAATCTCTACACTGAACGTGGGGCTCAAACTCATGAACCTGAGTCGACTACATCAGCTTAGTCACACATTCTACTGATTGAGCCAGCCAGGTGCTCCCCAACACCATTTACTGAAGATACTATCCTTTCCCTATTCTTTCTTTGTCATAAATTAATTGGCCAGAAATGCATGGGTTTATTTCTGAGCTTTCTATTCCA